GACTTCAAAATATTTTTTATTAAACCGTGATTTATTTACTAATGTTATATGATTCAAATGCTTGCTATAAAAAACTTATTGAAATGTATGTTTAATGTGATGGAAATAAGAACATTGAGATAATATGTGACAAAATTAGAAAGGATAAATAACTAAATGATTATATTATAAAAAAGATTAGAGTGGCATCTATTGAAGATTAACTGATTAAAAATAAACTTTAGGTGATTTGAGCATGTGCAACTAAGGATAGAAAGTACGTCCATTAAACAAATTAAAAAAATTAGTGTCTAAGGATTCAAAAAAATTGAGAACAAATAAGATAAATGGATAGAAATGATTCAAATGCTTTGTGAATAATATATTTAACATCTCAAGAAGCACTAAATAGGAACAAGTGTAAATTATTAATTCATGAAGCCAACACCAAATATTTAGGATAAGGATAATAATGAATGAATGATGAAGTGAATATGTGTATAATGAAATTACACTATGGATCTAAATTTTCAAAAGTAAAGTCACACCTCGATGTGATATAGAACAAGTCTCAAAGTTCAACATGCTATTTAACAAAAATAAAAAAAGAAATAATAGTATATATGAAAGATTTAACGGAATCATTAATAAAACTAAATAGAATAGACGTGCAATCCAAGAATACAAATAAAAATATACAAAGTAATAGCCTATCAATTCATGTGCTTAGGGGTGTGCATTTGATCGATTCAGATATGTTGGTTGACAAATTTGTTAAGCCTATTAAATCAAACAAAACTATGAGAAAAATCAGATCAACCAAATCATAAGTAAAACGAAACCAAATCAAACTGCAATATAGTTTAGTTAGTTCAATGTAAGTTTAACCGAATTTTGAAATCACAAGTAGAGACGTGTTTTAACTAGATTGCAACTCAGAAATCCTATTAGATTTGATCCAAACCAAAATCCAGAATCTCGCTTTAGTGCTTTCCACTCCAAGTGCTTCTCGTGACTCCATGAAGCATGAGTGCGACTATGGCCTAAAGCTTTTGACGAGGAAAACTAAAAAACATAAATAAAACAATATTTGGCTATTTGCTCAAAAGTTTTAGACTCAGTCAGACCAAATTTATTAACCGAAAAAATAAGCAAAATCAAAACGACCCTTAATTCAAAACAAAAAATGAAACAATCATTTAATACCAAACCAAACCCTCCAAATATACTTGGCTCGACTCAATTTTTTGGTTTAAACAAACAAATGCACACTCGTGCATGTACTACCCCATGATTAATCCGTTCACATAAGAAACAATATTTGTATGGATTCTATGGAAACTGTTCTAGTTCAACAAAAATAAACTGCATACTCAGCACATGAAAGCAATCAATATGACAATCAGTCTAATAAAGGTTTGTGATTCAATGACTCAATGTTTCTCGTGCCAAAAGAAAAGTCTCTACATTACATTTAACAATTTAAGTGAAAACTAAAAACTGTCAAGCACCACATATTTTGCAATCCCTAACAAAGAAACTATTCTCTAACTAGTGTGTAGCCTGCAGCCTAGCTTGGAACGAAACCATAGGATCTTGACCGGGTTTATCATTGTTTCCCCCGCAATCCACTTTAAGCTCGCAGTGATAATTTTTATAATTTAAAATTTTAAATACGTTGTAACAAAATGCTAAGTCCGAATACTTATTCCCTAATCCAAAACAAGCCAAAAAAATATCAAAACAAAAGAACGATCCATAAATTCCAAGCACATAGCATAGAATGTACTCCCTGAAAACAAAATAGAAATACTTATGTGCACAGAGATGATCGGATTTCGAAAATCCGGTGACGGGGAAGAAAAACCAAATATCAATTGTTGAAAATGCATCATAATACGAAAACGCAATCGATCAAAGAAATATCAAAGTATGTAAACAAAGAATCGGGGATACAAACAGAGGAATCGAAGGCAAAAAAGTGAGAGTTTGCTTGCAAATTGAAGATTTGAAGGCAGAAATAGAGATGGGGAGAGTATCCTACACTGGGCTTCGTCTGGTCTAGGGAAGAAAAGCCCTAAGTCATGGATATATTGAGGTTCAGGCGAGGCTTTTCACAAAATCAGCAGGGGCAGCATTGTCATTTTAAGTTCTATTCCACGGAACTGCAAAGCTGCCTTTCAAATTGCAAAACATCATTCCGCCAATGCACTTCTCCAAAAGTCATGAAAACGGTGCTCCCGAAACAGCCTTACGCAGAAGCACTCATCGAAAATTGCTGAAAAAACTATCCTAAACAAAACCTTAGAGATTTTCATCACTGATGTTAGGGCTACTATAATGTTTTCTAAAGCCCAAAGAAGAAGCCTTGATTTGCTATCTACTAAATGTCATGCATTGCAACCTGCACAGCAAAGAAAGTACCAACCAAGAAGACATGAAGCTAAAGCTTCCTTGTTATGAAGAAAATCAACTAAAAGGTAAAGGAGAATTAAAGTGAGATCTCACCAACTACTGTCCAAGCAACATATCGATCAACAAACTTTACTCTCGCAAGTGAATATTTATGCATGCAACCAATTCAAAAATCTAAAATGAGTTTAAAGGATAGTTCTACTGGTGGCATAAAGTAAAACTCAAATTTGGGCTTAATGATGTCAAGCCTCTATTGTTCAAGGGAAGAAACTTAAGACTTTGTCAGCTAGAGTACAAAAAGTCCTGAAAGCTACAAAGATATGACTTAATGAAGAGATGATATGAAAAACTTATTGTGATTGGGATATCAATAAAGTTATAATCATGAAGTTGCTATCTTCATTCCCCTATGATAGCTCAAGGTTCATGAAGGTGAAATGATCGGAGAAGAAATTGGGAAAGCTTGCCATGGGATCCCATCATTAGTCAGCATCAACCCCGCGGAGAGAGGGGTAATCAATTTTTTGCTAGTAGGATATGACTGAACATTTCTCACTCTAATATATCAGAGACAACTGGATGAAAGATATATATAATCCCATTTGTAGAGGGGTTACCAAATTTTTGCTAGTAGGATATGACTCTGGACATTCATCACTCTCTAGTAAATCGAGAACAATCATATGAAGGATTTCTTTAATCACTGCTGGAAGAGGGGTAATCAAATGCAAGCCATCAGGTGTAAAATTTTAGTTGCTCCTCACTCTTCATTATAAGAAGATTTACGTTCTCTCTGGAAGAGGGTTACCAAATGCAGTTTAGCATGAGTCAACTTCAGTTATACATCACTCTCCATTACAAACAAATTTTTGTTCTTCATTAGATGATGGGATATCAAATACAAGTTAGTGAAAGTAAACTCCAACTGCTCTTCACCCTTACAAGTTATGAATGCCTGACAAGAAGGCCCTCGAGTCATTCAAAGAGAGCATAAACTTGAAGAGATTTTAGAATATCTTTCTGAAAACTCTCTTGTAAAAAAGCATTTCTAGCCGACAATGAAATCTCCTTGCAAGACAGGGAGCTTTTTTTTTTTAGTTTTTTTTGGTCAAAACCGTGTTTTAAGCTAAAATCATCATATACACCTATCAAATGTTGAAATCACTTCCTTATCGGACAAGGAGTGAAATATTTTGGCGACATCGTGCTAATATTGAGATCCTCAAATATTTTTGTTAGACAAAGTCAAATATTTGAGTGACATCACACTCAAGGCTAAAATCCCCAAGCATCAAGATAGGGAGTATTCTCATATTATTTGAATATTGAGTAAAAAATTATATTTGATAACGCACAATGCTCTTTGTGAGCTAAGGCCAACTTAGATCAGTCGCATTAGACAAACATTCACCCCAAGTTTATAAGGTCCCCTTGAACGAACCAACTCATAGTTGCTAACAAATATCCTTCTATCAAATTAGGTTCACTGCCTCAACTGATTAAGTAGATCCGGGTCCATAACAACTAGAAATGACGGAACCATGAGATCTTGATCTGACTCATCATATCCCCCACCATCCGATTTAAGGCCATGAAGATATTTTTTTTATAATCTTAAATTTTAAATCTGCTTCTACAATATGTTAAGCCAGAATACTTATTGTCTAATGGCTAGCCTTAATCGAAAGTGTTCTCCAGTTATCGAGAGGGGTAACTAACCATAGGGGCTTGAGCTATAAGAAGCCTAGAAACCCAGATCTTAACGTCCTCGTAAAATGTGAGTGAAATCTTTGGATAGTGTCTTATCTATTATCTCATCTGTCTTCTAAAAATTGAACCCGGAAGTTAGCACTTAAGCTCTCGACAGGAGTATGGGGTGTTAAATTTTCGAAGCCCACATGTTCAAGTGGTTTTGTGCTTTTTATTGTATAAGAGTGGTGTTGATTCGAATCCAACACCATACACATATTTTCCTAATCAATTTAAATGAGTCAATTTCGAGTCGAACACAGACTAGAATATGTAAATCAAGCGGAACACGAACATACTGTTCACGAGCAATTTCGAACATGAGTCAACTTCAAACATAATTAACTTTGAATGAGCTAGACATGAGCCAAGCTTGAGCCTGCCCAAGCTTGGCACATTTACAACCCTAAATTTAACATTATTATAGACTCTCTAAATAAAATAGCCTATGTAAACAGCCATGGAACTAATTTGGCACGTCACTCTTGCCTATTATTTAACTAACACCTTCGCCATTTTCAACAATGTAAAATTTTTATGTAGATAAACGAACTACTTTAAAAGGGAAAAACAATGCCTTATGCATGACCTCAAACAAAAGCCTCAAATCTCGCAATTGAAGCATCCATCAACGACAAATTCCCCTACTCCTCGGACAAAAAGTCCGGCTGCATGTCACTTTTGAAAAGATTCGCCAGTAGAGTCCAACATTTTCTGGTTATGCTAACCTAATCACTGCATCCTTTTCAGATGACAGATAACAGGGAAGTCAATTATAATAGGGCTAAAAATAAGAATAGCAGTGAAGCATGAAATAATCAATGATTATGAGAAAAAAGAATAAAAGGATAATGCACCTTTCTCCTTGCCCTCGCGCTTGAAATGCTTGAAAGGTGTATAAGAATTCTCAGCCCCCACGCACTTGAAAAAATTCTGGGGCTTGTCCTCCACCTCCGAGCAGCGCCGCCGGCAGGCACCGCCCTCTCGCTGCCTCCGTCGCCGATAAATTTGCGCCACAAACAGGAAGGTGGCAGCAACAAAGACACAAGCGATGGCCATGGCAGCCTTTACCCTATCGCGCCTCGCCATTGTCGACGAAGTAGGGGTGTTGACTTCGGATCGTAGCTTGCTTTCGCCCTGGGTTAAAGAGGAAGAAGGCGGCGATGGAGGCGAAGAGACCTCTGGCTGGAATCAATTTGAAGTTGGCCAATGGATCAGAAGGCAGCAGACTTCTCCGCTGCTCCAATTGACGGGAATGCATTTTTAGTCCTGATTATTGCACACAAATTGCTACTAGAGCTTCTAGAGCTCTTGGATCACGTCAAGTCGTATGAAATGAATTGTTTAAAGGGTTTTTCTTTATTTCATCAAGGCCCGAGAAATAGAGAGGATATACCAAGGCTATGATTTGATCTATCATTTCATCATATTCTATTCTAAAGGAGAGTTAAATCTATACATGGTTATGGCGGTTGAGTATGACCAAATTAATATAGTATGATTTGACCAACCTACTATGTCTTAATAAAAGTTCATACCTTCATGTTATCATAATAATATTTGTATTATGTTAATGTGTGCAATCATACTCGTTTTTGTTGATGTTGATGTTAGTGGCATATATGATTGAAAGTTTGAACATGTGTGTATAGTGTGCTACGTGTAATGCATTTAGCATATGTTTATATAATTTTCAATACATTGCATTTTAGTATATGTGTAGGCGAGTGATGAATTTGCATTCATTAGCATTTAAGAAACATGTAGGCTTTAAAGAGGTGCAAGCTTATTTATAAGCTTGGGGTTATGTTATCTTTTACAAACTTTATTTGGAAAGTGAGAGTTAGTTGAGAGCGATAAATAAACTTTGGAAGAAACTTGTCTTACTAGTTTAGCTCTTTATGAAGTTTTTTTTTTCTTTTTGTTTCTAGTTGAATAAGTAAGAATAATTCTCTTTTTTAATATAAATATTTATGTTTGATAAAGTAGCCAATTCTTGAAAAATATGTTTATGCCTCATTGGTGTACTTGATAGATGTAATTTCTTGATACTATTAGTTTTTAGTTCCTGTGAAGTTTCATCAAATCATGCTTATGAAAAAATGTGTGTTAAAGGATGATGACTTTATAGACTGGCTTTTCTATAAGTAAATACATGAACCTCATCAGAAAAAAATGTTATGATTAATATATTAGTAAAATAATATATGTTATTAAAATACTTATCAATAATTTTACTGGTGACTCATCCATCACATTTCCTAATGTTGCTTACAATTATTTAGTCAAACTTATTAAGGATTAGCAACTAAAATGACCATCAACATAAACTCGTACACATAAAATTTTTAGTGGTAGCACAAATGGAAACTTCGTCAATACACAACCTGTAATGACAAAAATTTACATTGGTTTATCAATGTAAAACTCAAAACTCTATCTATAAAGTTAGAAAATATCCTATCAGTTTAAGTGTGCATCAACAAAAATTATTTTTTGTATTTCTACAACGAAAATCATCATTCCTACTAATGCTTTTTTTCATTGATAATGTGCATGAAAAGATAGCTATTTGATATTTTATGTGGCGCGAAATAAAGAATAAGCAACACGATATCATCTCTTTAATAAGACGAGTTTAAGTCAACTACAACAAGGGGGTCGATTTGAGTTCAGTTAGTTATATCAAAATTTTACATAACAAAGTTAAGTCTTTTGGGGCACTTAGCTAAGTTTGATTGAATTTACTTTATTAGTTTGATTTGAAGTTTCAAAATGGCCCAAAGGTTGGTCTAACAAGTCAACGTAAGTTAACTCTACTCCTTATATGTTTAAGGTTGAGCTCAAGTATGACTTTAATGACCTATAAATTATTTATGTTCATTAGAAATCAAATGCTTGAGTGGTTATTTTACTTGGCTTAGTGGGCTCCATTAGATCCTTAACTAGCTCATCCTAGATCAGGGTGAATCTAGATTTGATCAAAAGGCTTGCAGGATGGTTCTTAAGGTTAGAGTTTGAATTTTTGGGTTTTAGGATTCAAAGGTTTGAATGGTTGCCTAAGGGATCCTTGGATCATAAGAAAAGACTTTATTATTACTTAAGTGAGTTAAGAACTAGCTTGAGTTCTAGCTTGGTTTTTGGGTTGAATTCAATGCCTACATAATCACTAGGAAAGTGTGTTAAGGGTCATATAAGGGATATCTTATAATAAGATTAGTTCCTATAAACTATGGAAATGAGAGTATGTCGATAAGACTAAAAACGAGATTAATAATTATATAATTAGTGGTAGTCTAGGAATGATTGAGTTGTATGCAAAAAAATATGAATATTTTGGAGGAGAGATATGGAATCATAGAAGAAATGTAAAAAAATTAATTATTTTATTTTTACCACAAATCTAAAACTTTTGGAAAAAATGGGAGTATATTTAAATTATAGAATCAATTAAGAAGAAAAATAGAAGAGATTTTTCCCTCTTTAATTTTATTTTAATAATAATTTAGATTTCCCAAAAAAAATCATTTTTTCCTCTTTATCAAGCTTATAAATATCCCATTTGGGTGTTATGAAGGGCATACATCTCATCTTAGTTTGTATTTCATATGGTGAAGCCAGGGTCTTCCATTACAAATTAAAAGGTTTAGTTGTCTTGACTGGATGGATCAAACTTGAAGGAGGTCAAGACCCGTGACTCGGCATCCCACTTGGAGGTGATTAAGGCCCATGATTCTATGACTAGGTTTGAGGCGATCAAGGCTCGTGATTCTACGATCGGATTGGAGGCAATCAAGGTACTTGATTCTAATAACGGTTTAGAAGAGATCAAAGCCCGTGATTCTGCTACTGGGTCGGAGGCAATCAAGGCAGTGATTCTATGACAGGTTGTGAGGTGATTAAAGCCTGTAATTCTACAACCAGCTTGGAGGTGATCAAATTATTTGTTCCTCAAGGCATTGTTTTCAATCTCATTAGAAAATCTACTGTTCCTCAAGTTTGACAAAAAGCTAACGTAATCATGGATTAAGTGGGGGCATCTAGATCCCTTCAAAATCACAATAAGTGTCAGAATCTTGACAAGGTGGTATTGATACTCATCGTAGATGAGCTGGACCTTTTTATAAAAGCTTGGAGCATAGAGTTTGTGAAAATGAAATATCTTCTTGATGAGTATAAAAAAATGTATAATATTAATGCAAAACAAATATTGGAGTTGAGAGATTAATTAATCAAGTGCAAGGCTGAGTTATCCTCCAAGATTATTTTTCTCTCTTTACGAAGCAAGAACGGATGAATTCTCTAAAAAAATTATGGAGACGTGATCCCGAGAAAATATAGTTGTGTAAAATTTATAAAGTTGACTTCGCTTTGCAATGGCGTCAAAAACTTGATGTGGTATTTTATGAATAATAACATTAAGCACTTAAAGTTGAGATTCTACGCTAGTATACGTATCGTTATCAAGTAATATAAGACTTTCTTTTAAGTCACAAATATCGATCCCACGGAGAAGGTTTAAATTTGAAATGATAAATTAACTAGGAAGTTTACAGAAATCAAACGAAATTACAATCACTAATTTTGAAAGTTTAAAATATTATCAAAGCTAAATTATTTACTACTAGCAGAATTTAAAAGCAGGTTTTAAAATTAATAACAACTAAACTATGTTTATGTCATGAAGTTTTCTAACGTGAAAAAACTTCTTTCCCACTACAATGTGTTTTTTAGTGAAATGAGATAAGATAAATGGTTTATATATGTATTGTGCCAAATAGGAGCAATTTTAATTCTCTACCCTGATTCAGTGTTATAGAAAATTATTGGTTAATCTTAGTTTTAGTCCCTTTTTAGTCTTAGTTTTAGTCCCTAAATTTGTGGCTGGGCTAGAAGGATACCGGCTCCCACTTTAGAGCTCCCACATCCCTTTCCCTAAAGGCTAACTCTCGCTTTATTTTTCAAACACTAAGATCAAATTGGAGATTTTTAGTCTGTCACTCTAGAAATCTCCAATTCTACACCAAAAAAAGTATATTTCCTTATTTATTTGCACTTAATCCCATGAACGAAATACTCCTTCATGGACTTAAATGTGATTCTCACTTTGTTGTAGAACTCATATTTTATTTCCTAAATCACATGGTTCACAACATATTTTAACAACTTAATTGGTCAGATCGAAAAGTAAATTAAGAGCGGAGTTGAAAAACCATCACAATTTATTTTAAATTTTAACATTAGCACATCCACATTATTTTTCATTTCACCATATCTCAGAGTAAAGAGAAAGATAAAGAAATCTACTCAGACTTCATGAGAAAAATACAATAAAACACAAATTTCATATATAAAAGAAAATTCATACAACAATAATAAACAAATAACACTTATCTGAAATTCTTTCTCAAAGCAAATCCTTTGTAGCCTCTCTTAGGAAATGTAGGAAGAAGAAATCTCTCACTTCTCTTCCTCTCCAACACTTCTTAGAGAAGAATTCACACTTAAACTCACAACAAAAACTCAAATCTATAAAAACAATAACTAACTAATGGTGTGGAGTGGTGTGAAATGTAGGTGTGTGAAGAGGAAAATTGAAAATGAGTGGAAGAATTTGAAATGATGCAAATGGGGGTTTCTGGTCAAATTTCGGCCCTAAATAGAGCCTAGGTCGGTTCTCCAATAGGTTCATCCAAAAGCTCTTCTAAAAGTGTCCAAATTCGTCTAATCTCTTAAAACAGGGCTTCCACCGACACTGGCACCATCTGCGCTCATCCTGACGCCAGAGGCCTGTATTTAAATCCCAAGTTTCTGTCAATGGCGTCGTCGGCGCTGAACAAATTTTGAATTTCTGCATTTTTGCTTCAAATTCAATCATTTTTGCTTCTTTTTTGCTCCAAGTCCTCAAAATCAACAACCTGCAATAAAATATAGAAAATACCTTCCATTAAGTTCAATATCACCAAAAAATGAGCATAAAATATGGGTCTAAAAATGCATATATTTTGGGTGCATCAAAATCCCCTAAGCTTAAATGTTACTTGTCTTTAAGTAACTCTTTTATTACATAAAAAATGACTTATGGTAAAGATTTTAACTTCTAGATTTCCATATCTTAGTTCACTAGATAAAATAGCATCACTTAAGAAAAATTCAAAATAACCCCAGTTAATACTAAAGGTATAAGAATATATAGTAGTCAAGTCTACGATTTTTTATTCTCTATTCTTTTCAAGGAAAATTGCAAATTGTTCATATTAAAACCGCTTAGAAAATCTATATGAAAAAGAATTTCATGAAACTTTACTAATTAATATGCTAATACTAAAATATAAGTTTAGAAAATGTAGTCAAGCCTTCTTCTTTAAGTTGATTCAAGTGAAGCCA